TATAAAATTAATGTATAAAATACTTACTCCTAAAAATCGATCAAAAAACATAAAAATAATGAATTTGGTAGTACCATTTTATTAATTATTCTAAAAATATCCCACATACATTAAGAATTCTAAAGTTCTATAAAGGGGAATGTGTGAGATTAATTAAAATAAAGCAGAACAACTATTAAAGAAGTTGCAAATTGTAACCCTCATTAAAACAAAAATTGAGGTACTTTATATGACAGGATTAGTTTGAATGTAAGTCTTCAAATTAATTTTGAAGATTTAAATACTATAACAGCTGTACAAAAGTGGCTTTTAGAATGAGATATTTATCGATTAAGTAATACAAAAAAAGATAACGATGTTTTCATTGATTCTTTGTGCCTTTTGTAAATGTAAGAAGAGATTATGTAAAGATATATTGATATTTCTTAAACAGGTGATGACTAAATGATAAATCATCAACATAAAGAAAATTAAATCTTAAAATTATAGAAAAATTATTGAATATAAAATATCTGTAGAGAAAATAAAAAAGTGTACCATATTACAGAATGATATGAATCAATATTTCTCTAATATTAATTATAACTATAATAGTTTGATTTTTCTTAAAGCAGTATTTAATATATTATATATAAATGTTATTGATAAGGATTTTTAAATTAGATTATTTATATAAATTCAATCTTCACAACTAACAAACATGCCATAAAATGCTGCAATGGATGCTGCAACTACTTCATCTGATTATAAATTAAACTAGATGATTAATATTAAATTCTTACTCTTCCTTTTAGAATTTACTTAAAAACATTTAAAACACATAGAGGATAGGGTATGACAACTATAAGTAAATAGAAGAAGGGTGGATAAAAAATTCCTAACAAAACAATAATGGCAAACTCTACAAAGCAAACATCTAAAAATAATTAGTTTAATTACAAATCACTCTTATTTTAGTCTTTTCAAAAAAGAGATAGATTAATATTATAAAATTTGTAATAAAGTTAAAGCATATTTATGTTTAGAATACAGTATATACTAGAACAGCTAATAATAATATATGAAATTTTACATGTCCAATAATTGTGTACTGAGATCAATAAAAAAAACAATATTCCTATATAAAATAATGTGTAGCAAAAAATAAGTCCAAATAGTATTAATAAACTGGATTATGTCTAAAATATCTTATTATTATTATTACTTTTCTATACTTTTAATCAATTCCAAATTTAATCAGAACTCCTATTGCAATTAAAGAACAAATAGCCAAGATTAAATAGATCTCACTAATATTTAATTTGAAAAACATAGTCAGCATCAATATATAAAAGAGAAAAACAGAAAGAATAGTCCATAAAATAAATATTCCTAAAATACTAAAGAGGAACTATTTTTATTATGAAAAGTCTTTGTCTTTAATTAAATTAGGTGTAGTAAGTATTAATTTTTCATTGGCTTGAATATTTGAAAATTCTAAATTTGGTGTAACTTAGTTATGAGAATATTATTAGTATTAAGATGAATATTATTGCTAATAATAATTTTATCCTTCTGTTGGTATTAATACAGGAATATATTTCACATTTTAATTACTATTATTAAACTATTATTATGATGAAGCCTATTGATTTGTATTATCTAAAGTTGGATAATTTATTTGTGACATTTATTATAAGATTTAATATCAAGAATTATTGAAAAGGTTGCTTTAATTAGATAAATGCACAATGCAGAAAATAATTCTATAAATAGTCTATTTGTATTATAATATATATTATATTGAATAATTAATTTAAAATAATTCAATATTATTGAAAATTGAAATTTAATTCCTTTAAATAGATACAAATATTATTTTTATTTTGATAAGTTTCCAATGATTGAAACTAAAAAATTCTAGAAGGAAAATCTCAAGAAAAATTTCTGTATTTGCTTAGTTTTTGCTTATTTTGATTTAAATGAAAGGAAAACATAACCCAAAACTTATGCCTACAATTATAACAGCTCATTACAATAATACATATTTGACATTACTGTGGTTCAAACATCTTTATTTTTAAAAATACAGCCATTACAGATCATACATAACTTTTTTAAGTAACCTACTAAATAATTTGATATGCCATTATTAATAATTTTATGTTTTGAGATCTTATAACTAAATTGTATAAAATAAAAAGCAATAAAATTTATTCTAATATAAATATTCAAACTATTATATATTTGATTAATAAAAATAAAGAGAAAATAGAGTAATATTTAAATATATGAATAATCTATTTGTCATAAAATACTATATATAATTATTATGATATTTATTTTAATAATGAAAATAATACAAAATATAAAATAAATTTATTTTATTAATCATTCTTTTTTCTTAGTAGAAATTTATCCAAATAAATGATTTTTCTTATACATTAAAACAATTTTCAGATAGCAGATATTTTAGGCTGTGAATATTGAGCATAAGATATAAATTTTTATGGCTATTTTTATTTGAATTTATAATATTTCATTTTATTAATGAAAATATTATGTTATAAGTAACTTAAGAAGCTTATTAGACAATTAGACTCATAAAATTTATAGTAAAAATACTCAGAATGTATTTCTTATTTTTCCTTTCAAATATTGAAATGATATATTATTCTCTAATTTAATCAACTCTGATTATTAAAAAGGAAATTTGATTATACTGAATTTTCTATGAACAATAATTGTATTTTCAAACCTTTCGAATTTTACAAACTTAACTTTTTATAAATCCCAATTTTCTTGGCTTATATATTTACAAATTATTTGATTAGTTCTATATCTAATTGAATTAAATCTTCTTAAATTTGGATTTATTCATCCAATAAATGTATTAACTATATAAATTGATTTTTCAAAGAATAAATTATTAATTTTAGGTTTCTGATTCAATATTTCTTGTTCTATCTTTCTCCAAAAGTCTCTTTCTTTATATTTTATTCATATTAAATTAGACTCTCTTTTAAAATTGAATGTATCTTTTATCTTTCTCATTTTTTTAGGTTGATAGGGATGAATTAANTATTATATTGAATAATTAATTTAAAATAATTCAATATTATTGAAAATTGAAATTTAATTCCTTTAAATAGATACAAATATTATTTTTATTTTGATAAGTTTCCAATGATTGAAACTAAAAAATTCTAGAAGGAAAATCTCAAGAAAAATTTCTGTATTTGCTTAGTTTTTGCTTATTTTGATTTAAATGAAAGGAAAACATAACCCAAAACTTATGCCTACAATTATAACAGCTCATTACAATAATACATATTTGACATTACTGTGGTTCAAACATCTTTATTTTTAAAAATACAGCCATTACAGATCATACATAACTTTTTTAAGTAACCTACTAAATAATTTGATATGCCATTATTAATAATTTTATGTTTTGAGATCTTATAACTAAATTGTATAAAATAAAAAGCAATAAAATTTATTCTAATATAAATATTCAAACTATTATATATTTGATTAATAAAAATAAAGAGAAAATAGAGTAATATTTAAATATATGAATAATCTATTTGTCATAAAATACTATATATAATTATTATGATATTTATTTTAATAATGAAAATAATACAAAATATAAAATAAATTTATTTTATTAATCATTCTTTTTTCTTAGTAGAAATTTATCCAAATAAATGATTTTTCTTATACATTAAAACAATTTTCAGATAGCAGATATTTTAGGCTGTGAATATTGAGCATAAGATATAAATTTTTATGGCTATTTTTATTTGAATTTATAATATTTCATTTTATTAATGAAAATATTATGTTATAAGTAACTTAAGAAGCTTATTAGACAATTAGACTCATAAAATTTATAGTAAAAATACTCAGAATGTATTTCTTATTTTTCCTTTCAAATATTGAAATGATATATTATTCTCTAATTTAATCAACTCTGATTATTAAAAAGGAAATTTGATTATACTGAATTTTCTATGAACAATAATTGTATTTTCAAACCTTTCGAATTTTACAAACTTAACTTTTTATAAATCCCAATTTTCTTGGCTTATATATTTACAAATTATTTGATTAGTTCTATATCTAATTGAATTAAATCTTCTTAAATTTGGATTTATTCATCCAATAAATGTATTAACTATATAAATTGATTTTTCAAAGAATAAATTATTAATTTTAGGTTTCTGATTCAATATTTCTTGTTCTATCTTTCTCCAAAAGTCTCTTTCTTTATATTTTATTCATATTAAATTAGACTCTCTTTTAAAATTGAATGTATCTTTTATCTTTCTCATTTTTTTAGGTTGATAGGGATGAATAAATAAGGATCAATAATAAAAAAGGAATGTTCCAAAAAGACTTTCTCATTTAATAACAACAACTTTAAGTAATTAATAAGTTTGATTAGAACATCAATTTAAATTTATTAGGTAGAATTTAATTTAAACAAAAGTTAGAGGTTGGTTATTTAAATATCTCAATTTTGAATTCGAATAGAAGAATTTCTTTTTATTTTTCATTTGTATAAAATAATTAGGTTATCCTCAAAAATATTTTAATACATAAATATCTTGGAAAAACATAATGAGCCCTAAAATGTGGAAAATTTAACATATTAATGAATTTCTGGAAAAAGTAATCAATTATTTAAGAAGTATAGTTAAATGAGAATATATATTTGAATTAATATTCATCAAAATTATTAAGTTCACAATTATTTTTTAAAGTTATAAATGGATTGCCAAATGATTTAGCTTAAATTATCGTTTAAGATTTATATATGTTTATAACTTCTTTAATACTTTCTTGATTGTTATAATATTTTTCTTAAATAAATAAATATTTAATTTTTGATCAAGTCATTACAATTAGCAAAAAAAGTAATAGAAATTGATAAATTAATTAAAAATGAATTGCCCAATTCATCCTTATAATGAATTATCAGTAATATGTATAGCACCACACAATTGTCAAAGAAAATTTTGCTCAGAATGCTAATATGAGCATGGAGGAAATATGGATTAATACTTTCCATTAGATTTATTTCAAACTTAACTCAAGTAGAAGGCTTCACAATATAAACTTGATGATGATCAAAAATAAGTAAAACAACATAGAGAATTTAAAATATTACTTGCAAATACCTAAATTCAACTAAAGACTTAATTTTCAGAGTTAAATTAATCCATTCAAAGTATCAATAATACTTTGAAAAAAAAGGCTTAAGTTTACCTTAATTTAATAAACCCTTAATTCTCCTTATCTGAATCATCATATTCAGATCTTGATATTATGGTAAATATTTTGTAGGGAGATGTATTAGATTAATGGCAATTATAAAAAGAACATTATTTCAATTATATAGATAAACTTAAGGCTTCGTTAAAATTTGAAATTGATAAATTCACTAGCCTAATAAATCAAAAAGCTTCAGAAATTATGTAAGAAGAAAAAATGTATAAATTGGAAGGTTTAAAAAAACAAGGATAGATTTTAAAAAAAACTAATTTTGATATTCATTATACTCAATAAAGAGAGACTAAATATATATATTAAGGTGAAATTCTTTATAGGTATAATTTTTATATATATTAATAGTTTTTAACAATATGATTTACTATCAAAACCTTAAATAAATACAAATTTAGAATAAATAAAGCATCTTTAATGGACAGGTGAAAAAGGGAAGAATGAAAAAAAAAATGGATTATGGTCTATGAAATGGAAAGGTGAAAATTGTAATGGATGTGGTGGAGAATACTCTTTAGATGGTATGAAAAGGGGTAAATGGAAAGAAATAATAAAAAACTATTATGAGTATTAATATAAATAATTTTTAGTAATGCTAAAGTATATGAGGTGGGAGAATATATAAATGATATTAAAAGGAGAACTTGGAAGTATATATATAATGATTAAGAGATGTATTAATATCACTTATTAACAATTAGTGGAGGTGGAGAATACAATTAATTAGGTCAAAAAGATGGAAAATGGATTGAGTTGAGTGAGGGGTTTAATAATAAATCTTAAGTTATCTATAATGGCTAATATAAAAATAATAAAAAAGTAGGTCAGTGGAATAGTGTAGCTTAGGGATAATAAGTGTAAAATATTAAATTCAATAAATATCTTAGTGGTGGTGGATCTTATGATGAAAAAGGTAATGAACTTAAGATTGGCTGGTGGGTTGAGTTGAATCATAGGTTTTCAGATTACTCATAAGTCTTTTATATTGGTGAATATAAAAATGGATATTAAATTGGTAAATGGACTACTTGGTGGTATATTTATGGAGAGAATAAAGAGATGTAAAACTTTACAACACTAATTATTTAGAGGTGGAGGATCATATGATTAAGGAAATAATGGCATTAAGATAGGAAAGTGGATTGAGTTGAGTGATGAATTTTCACATCTTTCTTAAGTCACTTATCATGGAGAATATAAACAAGGAAAAAAAATTGATAGATGGAATACTATGTATAGGAAGGTAAATGATTTAAATTGGATTTCGATGTAATTTATAAGGTTTACAGTTGGTTAGTGGTGGTGGATCATTTGATGAACAAGGTTATGGCATTAAGATTGGAAAGTGGGTTGAATTGATTGATGGGTTTGGTTTAAATGGTCAAGTTACATATATTGGTGAATATATAAATGGCAAAAAGGTCGGT